CACAATTCTAAGAAGGAAAAAAGGATCAAGTAGTTTTGGTGGCCAACTCAATACTCAACGAAAACGTATTTACGGGTAACCACAAATGTGTTTTATTTAAATTTAAACTACCAATGAAAGGATCAGAAAGAACAAGACCATGTTTTGGTTGCTTCGTCTATTTCCACTCTTATCTAGGTAGCAAAAACAAATGATATTTTAGACGACATATTGATTTTCAAAACTTCAAAGAAATAAACAAGTTATAGTTTTTCTTCATGTCATCAATAGGCGATAGGCGATCTTGAGTTCCACGATACAGTTTTCTTGAACAATTGGATCTTGATGATGTGACAGTTTGCTGCTTTGTGAAGGTGAAGGTGACCTGCTTCCAACAGTTACGATAACCCAAAAAAAGGTCTATTTAAAGTTTCTTTTCCTCGATTTTAAACATTGTGAGGCCATAAACGTTATGATGTTACTACAGATGAGCCAAGCTCCACTCCTGATTCCAGTGGAAATAACAAACAAGGGCAGTATGACCGTCACCCATACTTTTTATAAATTGATCTTATAGATAGAGCTAGGGACCTTTGATTCATTTTAGGTTCCACTGGTTGTGTTGAAACTACTTCTAAGGGCACTAAGTCTTAAAATTCATTCTAAGCGAGCACTTGTACTTCTCCCTAGTCGCTTACGACGTATATGGTAACAATCTACAGACCATGCTGCTCAATATCGCTCTTGAAAGGACATCTCAGCCTCTCCAGATTCTGTTTTAAATGTAACCAACCCACTTTCAGGAATTTTAGTTGCCTCTACCATGTTGTGGGGCTATGAAGGTTCGGAAATGTGGATAGATAGGGGTACGCGGGATGATGGAACGAAGGAAGTGCCTGACGAACCACGAAGAACGTGGTTAGGCCGGCATTGTTGAGTTTTCCTGGTCAACGACGGCTGGTTTACGCAACTGTTTTATGTGTTAAAGAACGAAAAAAAGCAATGGAACTTACGCAACTATAAGATCTACATCAATAAATTCATCCATTAATTCGCGATACTCCAAAGACAACAAAATTCAATAGCTCAAAACTTATACATTTTTTTGTGAAACTGAATCAATCTGGTTGTTTGGTGTTACAATTTCTATGGGCCAGAGTATATAAGCGGGGGGACTCTTGCCTTGATACCATTAATTCTAGTCGTCGGATTCGTCACACACATCTCGCGTATATCCCCGGGAAACAATGGAGTACGCCACCGCGGAAGAAAGTTTCGGACGTCATAGTCACATTGTTTAAGTGTCTCGGTGTCGAAATATACTGCAAATAGAATAACTCGGCTGGCAGCTACTTTGCAAGTCGGGTCGCGTAATTGAAAAATAAAGTAGGCGAAAATAAGGTCTCCGGCTATTTGCTCGAGACGCCAGAACGGAAAATGGGATGCGATAAAGTTTCGGAACGTATAGGGCCGCCTTCAGGGCGGCGGCGAAGTAAAATCGCTCGCGTTGTTTGCTCTCGTTAGTTATCGGCCATCCGGTAATAAAAGTATCGCGATTGCCTTCGAAGTTAGCGACTCCGAAGTTTGCGTACTTATCTCGGAAAAAATTGCATGTCGATTTTTGTCTGCTAGCGTGGAACTTTTAGGAGATAGGTTCTAAAAAAGTAGTTAATAAGCTTGCAAAGTTTTAATAAATTTAAGTTCAGTGTACTTTTACTGAGGAATGTAGGTGATTAATCACATGATATCGCAATGCAACTTTGCCATTTTAAGTAACAGTAAGTAGGTGCCCAGAATATTGAATTATACTCGTATTTTAACTTTTATGAAACAAAAACTTTTATTTCGGGATTATACGTTGTTTTTCTTCACCCCTCTAACATTTGTTAAGCCCTTCCGAAGATAGTCAACTTTGTGCACATCTGTATCAGACACTTAAAAATCGTCACTATCGCTACTGTCAATGATCCGCCGTTCTCGATAAATATTTTCTTCTTTTATTACTCGAAGACACAAAAATACAAGAAGAAGAATGTTGTTAATCGACAGGCACGCAAGACAAAAATGATTATTTTCAAATTTATCTGTAAGATAAATAGAGTACAGGTAGTTTCCCTGAACTATCCAGTGAAAACAGTCTCGCAGGGTTAAAGCTCGAGAATCAGGTACAAATACATACCTACTTACTCGAAGGATCACATTCAAATACCTTCCTAATATATACGACCATATTGCAATTTAGATGAAACCCTTAAGAAACAAATCACCCGATGTTAAAATAAAGGATTCTACTTATTCGAAAATACCCCACAAAATCAAATCAAATTTTAAACGGTCTTTTTACGTTTCAAATAAAAATTTCTACCAATATTGGTTTCGGTTCATCTCGGGCAAGACCTACCTAATGCAGAATCAACATTTATTGGGATGGGTTTTACTGCGATCCTGCGAAGGTCTGCGGGTAAGGTACAGTAAAATACTTAAAACATCAAAACAATAAATGCACTATATTTTTGGTCGTACAATATCCTCTTATATTTTTAGATGTTCATTTCAGTAGCTCCATTTTTACTTTGCTCTCTACATTCAAATATTTTTCCTATATCACGTCCTGAAGAAATCTTGAGACTTGCTTGCTTTTTGGATCTTCATTAGTTGTATTAGTTTTGGTTTGATTTTTAATTTGCATCTCACCGATTCCTTGAATGTAATCACACATTTTTGTACACTTACAATTTTATTTTTCATATATCATTTTAAATACTATTTAATTTAAATTATTATTGATAATTAAATAAATATGGAGCTCAGAAAGGGTCTTACACAATTAAGTCACTATTTTCTAAACAGTTTTCATTAATTAATTTAATTTAGTTTTTTGACTACTTATTCCATGGATACCGAAAGAAAGTCATTTCTGAAGAAATGTACCTTCTCCTAAGATTGATTAACTGAAGAATAATGGTACCCAAAAATAATGATTTTTATAAGCGCTGAAAGAAAAATTGTATATTATTAACCTTTATCACACCAATTCAATAGAATCTTGAACAACAAAGAAAGTTCTTAGAGGCCTCGTTTGTATAGAAATAAGATTAAATTAACATTCAATCATAATGATTTCCTGCTTCGATCGTATCTTATTAAATTCTTGATTTTCTCAATGATTGGATATTAAATCAATATGACTGATTTTCCTTTGGTTGGCTCATTGACAATTAAATTTATATGGTACTCTTAAACTGAAATTTATGATATAACATCAGCAAAATCGGAAAGGTTTGGAAATAAATTTTGACTAATTAACCAACTGACTATGTGCATAGAACTAGAGGGGTGGAAAACTATGAAATCTTGTTAGAAATATAAACCCAGGAACTTAAATGAACAACAATGGAATTGAAAACTATGTAAAACACAAGAGTGCAGGGTGGGAAAAAAGTAATTGGTAACCCATCTGTTCGCTGTTATTTTAGTAATACGAGGGGGTACCCAAAAAAAAACCGGAATCATTTTTTATAGAGTATATATTGTTTTGAAAATCACAGAACGACTTTATCCCCTTCAAAATACGCTCCATTACAGCTAATACATTTGTCCCAGCGGTGCTTCCACATTTCGAAACATTTTTTTATATTCATCTTTGGCTATAGCCGACAGCTCATCCATCGTTTTTTTCTTGACCTCTTCAATGTTGTCAAATCGCTGTCCTTTCATGTCCCTTTTCATACGTGGAAATAAGAAGAAGTCACACCGAGCGAGATCAGGCGAGTAAGGTGCATCTGGATCCGTTTCAAGCTGTTGATTCAAAGCACGACATGTTTCAACTCGATGTTCTTTTTGCATGTCAGTTAGAACACGAGGAACAACCCAAGACAACCCACTAATCTTTGATTATTGTTCAGTTGTCTGTCGACCGTCTGTGAGCACAAACTCTCGAATATTTTCGTCGATTTGAGCAGTGGAGTCGGTCATCAATTGACTCGTCGCCATTTTTGAAGCGAACAAACCACTGGTACGCATTTTCTCTTTATAAGCTGTTTTTTATATTGAAACAGTTTCAGCAGCACTTTTACTGAGCAGAAAACAAAATTTCACAGCTGCACGTTGTTCTTTTAAACTTGCCGTCGAAAAAAACGAAATAACAAAAAAACAGCGTTAACAAAAAATGGCACTGCAAGTGAACAAAACGAGTTAAATTTAAAATGAAGGTGACGTTGAACTTCCAATAACTTGTACTATCCATAACCTAGCGGCAGAAAGATGTACTATACAAGCTCTGCGCGCGGCAATTCAATTCCGGTTTTTTATGGGTACCCCCTAGCATATAACCAAAACTACCTATTTTGCAGACCAACAAAAAAGAAGTAACTAAGATAAAATGAACTCAAGAAGTTAGCAAACCTACATCCTAAACGGATCTCCGTCCAACCGATTGGTTGCAAAAAGAAAACGCTGAAAACCGACAGGGGTGGGTTGATTCGAGGCAGCTAGGCAAATGCATCAACCGAAGTGTGAAAAGCTCTCAATGGCAAAAATCTACGCTGTTGACCTGAAATTGTGATCGAGGGCTAATGTTTGAGCACTTGCTGTGTGTAGAAGGAAGAAGGTAGGAAGGAAACAGTTATTGGTATATTTTTTAACATTTACTGTTGAGTCAAGAAAAAGAATCAAACACAAACTACTTGCGAAATGTTCCTGAACCACCCATCAATAGTTCTTTGGCAGCATTTTATATTGACCTTGATCTGGTTGACTGATACCGGTGAAGAATAAGAAAAGTCTATACGAAGATGCCGTGTAGGTACGTCGATTTGCTGATTCCGAAACAAATCAGCAAAGTGCCGAACAGGAGTAAAAAGCATCTCCGACGAGCGTCCCAGATCACCAAATTGAAATAATAATGCCTCAGGTCCAGATGAGAACGGCTGAAAGTGGGGACCCGTACCTAAGGTGGTGGGGGCGATCGGCTGTTCCCATTGGACGCGGCGTCTATACCTCGGGATCAGTTCGTCGTCGATTGCGAAGCAAAGATATTCGTCGACGTATCTCTCGAAATACACGCGTCCGAGTCTCGTTTTTCTCGGTGGTGCGCAAAGTGGGGCTGGTAGTTATGGTGCACGAAGCGGATGCTTTGGATTAAACCAGATTTTTTTTTAATTGCTAATCTCGCACTTCGAAGGTAATTAAAAAAATTATTTTATTGCTTCGGAATTAATTCAGTTTCGCCCAGGCATGCAGCCTAACCATCGCGACGTTTCGAAAACCGTATATTATCGGCACGGTCACGCGAATATGTACCAGTTTTTAATGTAAAATATGTTGCGTGCGGAATATTTTATTCGTTCGAAATTCCCTGCTGGGTATAAAGAGGGTGTTTTTGTTCTGATAAAATAGCGGTAACCGGTCGTTTTGCGTCTGTCGGTTTGCACGGGGGTTGTTTCTTTGTCTAGACTGAAAAATCGTAGCTTGGAGACATGTCGATTATTTTATGGGTTTAAGCAAAAAAATCAAAATATCTAAATAAAAATGAAAGTGTTTTTTCAACCAAGTAGCCACAAAGCAATTTAGATAGATTTTTGTTCCCGCAATTACGGTATGGACAATGCTCATTCTTCAATTTTTTACCACCTGTGTACATAATTTCCTTATGTTCTACCATTTCTACTATTTTTTCCCATTCTGGTCATCTGCTTGTCTTCTTTGGATCTATCCTCAACAACTGAAATATGATAGTCATTTTCAACTTTTTCTTTACCCTTTTTAATGTTAAATCTTCCCCTTCAAACGTTTTCTCTCTTCTTTTCTCTTGCTTTTTGCACGAACAAACTGGGAGAGGGTCAGCTTAAAATCCCAAAAGCTCCATGCAATTGTCAAACTTTCAATTTTCAATTTAAAAGGTGAATCAAGAAGGCAGTTTTATTGTATGTATAATAAAACATATTTTTGATGGCTATAAAATAATATTATTGACATAAGTTGCCCAGGAATGTATAAAAATGGAGAGACAATTAAGAACTAAACAGGACATAGAGCAGATAGGTGTTGCGAAAGTAGCATGATGTATTTAAAAAATTTTGAGTTACCGAAAAGTGCTATATAAGTGAATATTGCACCCAGTTTTTAGATTTTGATAGTTGGTATTTCATGCTTATTAAAAATATATTATGACGACTCCCACATGTTAATTGTACGTCAAGGTATAGTTGTCTCAGAATTATAAGTTTATATTAGATGTTAGATAATGGCAGCTATATATTAAACAATAAATTCAGTTTACTACTACAATATGATTTATTTTTAATAGAACGTACAGGAAAAAACAACATTTAAAAGTGTTAGTGCAAATAAAACTTACAAATAATGGAGTAGAACATTTATCTAACCGTAGTTGTTGTAATACGATGTTTCTGTGAAAAGTGTAAGTGCAAATAATGGCATAGATCATCGAGTAAGTAGGAGATCAAACTATAACCTTTTCTTCTTCTTCAGGTGATGTCCTTCCATAAATCTCTCATAGCACTTTCTTATTTTAAATGAAACAGTCGGTATATTTTTTATGGTCCGGTGCATCCTTCTTTGACTATATGGTTACTCCGAGGTAACTAGTTCCCTGGTCTTCAAGCAGGATTTGAGGATCAAAAGCATTCTACTGAGATTAGTGTAATTTAAAAAAAATAATTTTTGGCCTTCGACACCTCACTAACTGAGAATAAAACGAAAACACATTTTACTCAAAATAAAGTAAAGAACGCGAAGCAAAAAGTGAGTGGCCCAATCAAACCAAAAATTAAACATAAAACTGCTTTGACTTTGCTGTTTATTTATCACATCTTTTGGGATGAAGCAACCTACCGCGAAATTTCTTCAATATTCTAAAAATGAATTGAAATACCAGGTATTATATTTATTTAAAATTAAAATAAGGAAGTTAAGTATTATGAGAAATTTATGAGATATGCCAAAACGAATATTACTTTGAGATTTTCGAGAAAAATCGTAAAATATTATCGCATAGCGCCATCTATTTGCGCACTAAAGTCATCCCAAAAACCACCAACAAATATTACGATCGAAATAATGCACCAAAACACACACGAAATAAATCAAAACGTTCGAAGATTTACCGCGGATAAAGCGAAACCCAAAAAACGCGCACACAAAACATCGAATAATAGTAAATAGCGAAACTTCCTACGGCAAATCTGTTTACGAAGCAGAAAATAACACACTTCGGAGGCAGGGAATCATCTCCGCAGCTACTGGAAATATCTCGCCACTTCGAGCAGAAAGGAAATGGCACAGATAAGGCGGCCCGGATCGCCTCGAACCATAAAAACGTCTGCGAGACTCGCTCTTAGACGACGCTGTGTGTAGTGGTATAATTTTGTTCAATCCCCGACTCTTTTGTGCCTGTACGAATGTATGTGTGTTTTGTTAATGGCGTTATCTGTTGCGTTGCCCTTTTCAGTTGGTCGCTTCGAAGTTTTCAGCCAAATAATTTCATTTGTATGGAAATTACCTCTTTTATTGTGGACATTAAAATAACAAGAAGATAATTATGGATATTTCAACATGGTATACTCGCCTCTAAATTATAATGAAGTAATAAAATATCTAAATGTTAACTTTCAGGTTCCACATTGCTAACTAGTGAGGGAAAATGAGCTTAAACCTTTACTATTTTGACTGACTGACACTGACTTTCAGATCGGATAATATCCTAGATAATTTCCATATTCACAATTTTCAAATTGTCAAGTCATATCCATTTGCTCTGGATAATATGGGCTCTTCGACGAAAAAAATATTTTGGCCTCTACTGCTCCAAACGCCATATTTTTTCTTTTAATATTTTTATAAAATTGTGGGTGATAAAGTCTAATTGACTTGATATATTTCATTTGTTTAAAACGATGACAACCGTATTACATGTTTTTTTGCAATGATCTGATTTTTCTAAAATAGCTGTATTTCTCTTGCGATTTTGTGAATGTTCCTACAGGCTAAAATAAAAATTCATGGACTATCTTTCCACACTAGCGTTATTTAACGATTTATCTACTCCTAATATACAGGAAAAGGAACAGAAAATATTATTTTTTCCTTTTATGACCTACTCACGTGTTTGTACAACAATTGCTTATTAAACTGGCATGTTCGTGTATATGGGTTTATCTTATTAATGAGCCAAAACAGAAAACTAGCGCATTCCGCTATTACGTTACTTTTCTAGCTTGAATTGGATTCCATAGTCTGATTTTTGCCTTTTCTAAATGGTTGTTAAAACTAGACCATGAAAAATAATATAAAAACAATTAAACTATAACAATTAATATAGTTACTATAAAAAAAATATTTAAAACCAACCAAAATATTTTGCAGCTTTAGGCGTATGCATCATTTTAATAATGTTATTTAAAATTCTGCACTTAAATGGCTATTAAAATTGTTATCCCTTTAGAAACAAAACAAAATTAATTAACTTACCCCAAATTTCAGTTTTTGTTTCCTCGACTATCATTTGATGGTAAATCACCTCCAAATTCCGATGTTTCATTACGATAATATCGCTGTTGGCTAGAAAATTACACGTGGTTCAAAGTTCTTCCTTATTGCAGTTTTTGGGTCGCAGTCACTGTCAATATGGCTAAAATAACTTTGTGAAAAGTCAGTACTCACAATAGTTTGAACTTCAGCAGACCTATTAATCATTGAGTCTCGCGTGGCGGAGCTTATTATTATTGTTTGCTGATTCCTCAGCAATAATGCGACAACTAAGTATCAAAAAATATATTTTAAGACTCCGACAAATAGGAATAGTGACTTGCGTTCTAAAAGAAAAGTGACAAATTAAAATGTAACATTGGATTAAACAAAATCTGAAGCGGCATGAACCAAACCAAACATAACATAAGGTATGTAGATGACAACATCGAGAATCTGCAGAGATCGATGAACAAAATAGTTTAGTCAAAAACAATGGATTCCAAGAAGCCCAAATGTTTGGAAATGTTCATAGACCAAGAAAATAATATCCCATTGTAATGAGACAACCCATTCCCTACACCCTATACACGTCGATCAATTTCCTGAACCCTGAATAAAATGTCTTGTTAGAAATATGGGTATACAAAATTATTTTGAAAATATTGACATTTTACATCGCATGTAACAAGAAATAGACACTATATCACGCGTGGAAACAAATTTGATTCTGATTATCAAAAGCAAAATAAGAGGTATTAAAGGTGGCTGCGAAGTAGAAGAGAATTGGATGGGTGCACATCAAACGAACTAGTCAGCGTAGTTAAAAATAAACTTTAGCTACAATATAAATTAAATCGATAACCTACTGACTGATCTACAAGAATAATCGCTTACCTCTTGTAATTGGCCCCTTGATGATTGTTTTGTTTTTTCATGTATTAGTATCACGTTGTCAATTATGGTAAAGCCTCGGATTATTATGATATTTTACAGTATAACCATCCTTTTAATATAATAAGCTCATATTAAAAAATAATGTTATTAAATTAATATAATAAAAAAAATTAACAATTGATTTGCCCTTATGTTATGATGACCTCGGCAAGCACTCACAGCGTACCTACGTACAATTTGAACTGAATGTACGCCTGCGGGTATGCGTAAAAGTCCTTAATACTGTCCTGCATTGTATTTTTTACGCTGCTATGACACGATAATAACTGACTTTCTAGCGCTCGAAAATTAATTAGGCGCTCGCCGTCCGGACTTAATCGTTTCGGTACGCGCGTGTGAAGCCGGCTTAATTCCGGATGATTTAACAACAGGACCTCGCGAGCGTCGAACCGGCTTCGCGCTCACGCTTTTGAGTACATTTCGGGGTAGTATATGGAGGCAGTTTTAAGAAATGATTGGGGAAATTTTCACTTTGATGCTATTTCGCTACTATAGGGTTTAAGTGATAAAAGGAAAATCTTAGAAAAACCTTAAAATGTCGAAAGGTAAGCCTTAGAAGAATTATGGTCTACCGTTACAGAGGAATTGCAATTAATTTCAGAGAATAATTCCAAGGAATTATACGTCTATACGTCCTTCTAGGGAGTGTGGATAAAAACTATGATTTCTGTGGGAAATACTTTAAAATATTGACAAATACTGAAATCAACTTTAATAACAAGTAGTACACCACAGAGG